TATATATATATATATATATAATGCAAATATAAATAAACAGTTTTTCAAATATATGCATGCATGTATTTTTATATATAATAAACATACACAGCATACACATGTCAAAAAACTTATTTTAGAAAAGCTTTTTTTTTTTTTTTTTAAAAACCTCCACTTTTTACCCATCATGTGTGGCGACACAGTGGCGCAGTAGGTAGAGGTGTTGCCTCACAGCAAGAAGGTCATGCTGGTTTGAGCCTCAGCTGGGTCAGTTGCCGTTTCTGTTTGGACTTTGCATGTTCTTCCACGTTCGTGTGGGTGCTCTGGTTTCCCCCACAGTCCAAAGACATGCGGTACAGATGAATTGGATAGGCCTAATTGTCCGTAGTCTATGAGTGTGGATGAGTGTGTGTGGATGTTTCCCAGAGATGGGTTGCGGCTGAAAGGGCATCCACTGCGTAAAAACTTGCTCGATAAGTTGGCAGTTCATTCCGCTGTGGCAACCCCGGATTAATAAAGGGACTAAGCCGACAATAAAATCATTGAATAGGATTTACTTGGAACAAAATATTGAAGTTCTGTGCATACTTTAAAAAAAAATATATGTTTAAAATAATGTTAATGTTATGCTAATTGTTTTCCTTTAGACGAACATGCATTCCAGCAGTTCATTGAGTGTGCGTTTAACAGCCAAGGGCAAGTAGACCGCTCATGGAGATATGGGTATGATGGCAAAGACGTCATGCATGTGGATTTGGCGACTGAAACTGTGGTCGGGACCAGTGAACCTGGCAAACGTTTAGCAGAAGAACGAAAAAGCACAGAGTACATTAGGAGGAAAGAAGAAAAACTAAAGATTGTGTGCTCTGCTGTGAAAACGGTCTTCCTAAAGTCTAACAATACACTGTCCAGGGCAGGTAACTACCATTGATAGATTTATAATGAAAAGGAAATTAAATATTTTTAACACAACAGATTTTAATGGTGCTGCAGTAATGACCAGTGTTGGTGTAATGCGAGTTACATATTAATATTTCTTTTCTAAATAAATATGTATTACTTTAAAGAATGAATTAATAATATTTAAGTTACTTTTTTTTTTTTAATGTAATGCGAGTTACTTTTTAGATTAGTTAATTAGCTTTTGAAAAAAATTCATTGCTGAATTAAAATTGTGCAGTCACATTAAATCACGCACGCATTGAGCGACTTTGCTCCCTGAGGGAAACAGACAGAAATAACATCTTCATTACTAACTGTTCCCGCAGGGAGCAAATTCTCTCAATGACCTGACCCTTACATTTCTCAAATGGAAGTATTCTCACTATTTTACATTAATAACATATTAAAGAAAAGGAAAAAGGGGATTTTGGGCTCTCAATGGAGAGTGATTTTACTTTAAAAGTACAAAAGAAGCAAAAGCATTGCTTTAAACTATCAACAATTTGTATATACAGTACAGCATGCATAGCCAACAGGACGTTTTCAGAAGATAACGTTATTATATAATAAATAATAAATCAAGTTTATACTGCGCGTTGTTAATTGCAGAGCTCCACCTAAACAAAAAAAAAAGCCCCTGCCATTTCTAAAAGACATCAAGCCTTAGCCAGGTAAGAAAAAGTAACGCAAAAGTAACATGATGCCTTACTTACTATAAGTATGAGTAACACAAATAGTTACTTTTTTGTGGGGTAACTCAATACTGTAATGCATTACTTTCAAAAGTAACTTTCCCCAACACTGGTAATCAGGGGCGGATTTGCCATTGGGAAATGCCAGAAGGGCCGGACCATTATTTTAAACGTGGGCCGGTCAGTTTAAAAAAAAAAATTATGTATTGTTTTTACTTGTAGGCAGCTTTTATCTTTTGCAAGATCTGAATAATATGATGATGACGATAGTAATAATAATAATAAAATAATAATAATAATAAATAAATATTTAACAATTCCCCCAATCTGTGATGGCGGGCTGGTTTTGAGAGGGGACCGACCCAATCAGACGTTATGCAAACATAATCAAAATCTGGCAAGAATATCAAACAAACAGTAAGTGCAACACCAGCCTAAAAAGCCCAACACGGTGCCTAAAAGCTCCAAGAAAGCAAAAAAAGGGCTCTAAAATCAGACGCTGAAATAATTAACTGAAATAATCTCAAAAGGCTTAAATTAAGCTGCTGCATCGGGGGACAATAGTGCAGTAGTGGAGGTAAGAAGAAAGCGGAAAATATACTAAAAGATCACTAAGAAGTCACTATACTAAAATATACTAAGTAATGTTGACACCATTCACTACTTCTGACAGTTTTTGACAGTAACCTACACTGTTTAACAGGTGTAAGCTTAGCGCAGAACTCCTGTACATTTTAAAATGTCATTGTCATCAGATAATGTGGCATTTAGGGTATACAGACTGCTGTATGCTACTACTATCAATATAGTCTAACATGCAAAAAAACCTAAAGATAGCCATAGTACTGCAGGAATTTGTAGTGAACTCTGAATACATCTAGTCTTTAAAGTAAAGCATAAGATACATGCATAGGTAACAGTGCATTTAATCCTTAGGTAGAGGCATGGAGAATGACAACGGGTTGTTTTTTTGTTTTGTTTTGTGTGGTAATGTGGGCTGTGTGGCTACAGTGCCAGGGTTGAATTTTCGTCCCAGTCCACCCCTGCTGGTAATGACTAATTAAAAACTTTTGGTTAACATATTGCAGTAATCCTATGCCTTATAAATCTGTAAATAAAAATAATCTCACTCTTTTCCTAATTGTTTTTCGTCCCAAAATGTCATTCCACACAGAAATAAATTTGACTTGGTTTTCCTTCCTTTTATGTAGCAAAACCAACAGTGCTTTTATTGTCTAATGGAGGTCAGGGTCAGGAATATCTCAAGTGTGTTGTGCGTGGCTTCTATCCAAATGTCATCCGAGTGCGTTGGACCCAAAAGGGAAAGCCAATCTTTTTCGGTGTGTCGACTACTGGAACACTTCCTCACACTGACGGCACGTTTCAGATGACCTCCTATCTCAGCCTCGGTAATATGACAGCCCATGGTGTTACCTGTGAGATTGAACACTTGAGCATTGATGGGAAACTGAGGAAAAACTATGGTAAGCTGCAAAAATAATTCGGTAACACTTTACAATAAGGTTCATTAGTTAATGCATTTACTTACATGAACTAATCATGAACAACACATGTACAGCATTTATTAATCATAATTGAACATTTACTAATGCATTATTAACATCCAACTCCAGGCTTGTTAACATTAGTTAATGCACCGTGAGTAACATGAACTAACAATGAACTACTGTATTTTCATTAACTAACGTTAACTAAGATGAACAAATGCAGTAGTAAATGTATTGTTCATTGTTTGTTCGTTAGTAAATGCATTAATTAATATTAACTAATGAACCTTATTGTAAAGTGTGACCAATAATTTAAATGAGCTTAATGAAAAATGACAAAACTCAAACTTTTGCTCTATTTCTTTGTTTCAGGGGATAATCCATGGATTCTGTCACAAATCACAGTGGCAGTGGTTGCTTTTATTCTTGGATTTGTGTGCACAATTGCGGTAATATTTGTTTGGAAAAGGCACCAAACAACAAAATCACATGATGATGAGACAAATGGCGCAAGTGACGAATCAGAAGCATCTTTATCTTTGAATGTAATGAATATTTCTCAGGAAACATAAACAATTCTTCTTTTTCTTCTGATTATGGGCACAAACAGACTTTATTTTTATAGATGTGTATTAAGATACACCTGATTTGTTTCTCAGTGAGCAATAAAATACTATTGTGATGCCTGAGCTTGTGGATCACTGCTTTGGGAGTTATGTTGTGGAAATTTATTGTGCTTTTAATATTGCAGTTGAGAATACGTTTATTCGTTCTCTGTAAAAATAGTTAAAATACCCCAACATTCAACTCAACTATAGATTCTTATAGCACCTTATTTCAACCCAATATTTTGGGTTATGTAATTTAATCCAATGCATCTGGTTATTTTTGATTAAATGTTGTTTTTTCCATTCTGGTATTACTATTGATACTAGTACTACTATTATTTTTATTTTTATTAATTATGGCTGTGTAAATAAATAATATACAATTTTCAATAAAATAATGGAAATGTTTTATTTCCATTGCATTTTAGTTCCAGACACTTTTGTTAAAGTAAATTAAGAATCACAAACAATGAAGAAACAGAACAAAGTGCAGACAGTTCTAAACTGTGCAAGCAGAAAATCCTCTGTTGATGGAGCAGAATATGGAGCTCTGTGTTCTGTAGAGGCTGTCCACCCATGCCACAGCCATGTCACCCTGCAGCCCAAGACCGGTTACTCACTGAAGCTAAGCAGGGCTGAGCCTGGTCAGTACTTGGATGGGAGACCACTAGGGAACACTAGGTTGCTGTTGGAAGTGGTGTTAGTGAGGCCAGCAGGGGGCGCTCAACCTGTGGTCTGTGTGAGTCCTAATGCCCCAGTATAGGGAAGGGGACACTACACTGTCAGTGGGCGCCGTCTTTCGGATGAGACGTTAAACCGAAGTCCTGACTCTCTGTGGTCATTAAAAATCCCATGGCACTTCTCGTGAAAGAGCAGGGGTGTAACCCCGGTGTCCTGGCCAAAGTCCCTCTATCGGTCCTTACGATCATGGCCTCCCAAATATCCCCTTCCATCGAATTGGCTCTATCACTGTCTCTCCTCTCCACCAATAGCTGGTGTGTGGTGAGCACACTGGCGCCGTTGTCCTGTGGCTGCCGTCGCATCATCCAAGTGGATGCTGCACACTGGTGGAGGTGTGGAGAGACCCCCCCTCATGATTGTAAAGCGCTTTGGGTGTATGGCCATACACAATAAATGCGCTATATAAATACACATTACATTATATTACATTACACCCGCTGCAGCAGCTTCACTCAGTCCACAACCTACAATACATTTTAACCACATCTAAATGCTTTTAAAAGATGGTCCTGGATGGTGAAACGGATATAAAAACACGACACGGAGAGGTAATTTAATTTAAAAAAATAAAAATATTATTGTGTTCTTGCTTAAATAAACTTTATAATGCAAAAAACAACATTACTCACACATTAATACAGCTGTTTTATATCAGTTAAATCTGTTGACTGTTAAAATTCAGATTTTTAACCCAACTGATTGAGTTATTAAATAAATTACCAAATAAAGGTTAAAAATAACCCAATAAAGCACAAATATGTTTAACTCAACCGTTGGGTTACATAAACAACTCGACATTTTTTAGAGTGTTCGTTCCTTCATTACTCATTCATTCAATCATTCCGTTTAGTCTCTGATTTATCAGAGGTCACCACAGCGGAATGAACCGCCAACTATTCCAGCATATGTTTTACGCACCAGATGCTCTTCCAGCTGCAACCCAGAACTGGGAAACACCCATACACTCTTACACACACACACACACTCTCACACTACGGCCAAATTAGTTCACCCAATTCACATATAGCGCATATGTTTGGAATGGGGGGAAACCGGAGCACCCAGAGGAAGCCCCCACCAACACAGGGAAAACATGCAAACTCCACACAGAAATGCCAACTGACCCAGCCGGGACTCGAACATTGTACCTTGCTGTGAGGCGATAGTGCTAACAGCTGAGCCATTGTGCCGCCAACAATTCATTTATTTTATAAAATTAACCCTGCATTAAATTATTTATCATACCTTTTAGAACATTGGGATTTTCTGCTCTGAACACCATATAGCTGTTTTTGTGGGCTGTGCCTTTAATGCTGGTTCTCCCCGCTCACCGTTCCCACGTGCCTGTGAAAGTGGGCCTCAATCTCAGCTTCGGCTGTGTCAGATAAACAACACAGTGACAGACATGAAGGAAGCAGATCTCACGTAATGTTTGTGAGAAATCCTACAGTAAGAACTTTCCCAATGATTATTTGATGTAATTGCTGTGGAGTTAATTCAAGACCTTCTGCAATGATGAGTCACACACAATATTGTTACAAAGTTCATGCACACACACACACACACACACACACACAGTGCACGCATTTAACTTTGCACTGTTTTTGCAGGCAAATGTGACAGCATACACGTTAATATCCACTGCTGTATGGATATCTGTTATGTTAATGTACAAAATAAACCTGATTTAAAGTCCACAAACCGGGATCGAAGCTTCTTTTATAACTGTACTGTACTTAAATGCAACTGTGGTGATAAAGATGGTAAAATCACTGTAATTCATTACAAACATGCAGTTTAAAAATGTTTTAAACTTGTACAACTCATTCTTGATCACATATGATGATGATTGATGATCACACCGAACAGACCTTTTAATCCTAGCTGCTTTGCGCAATATGCAGTCCAATATGACCTACACACACTTCTGTCCAAACAGCTTACACAAGATGATTTTTTTTTTTTACCATAGGTGCCCTTTAAATAAACCAATAAATAAAACTGTTGTTTTTTTATTGCATAACAAGAACAATACAAACACAGAGGAATACAGTACTTCGATTTTTATACTTATTATTATGTTTATATATTATATTTTTTATTTTATACTTGTATATTTATATTTTATACTTATTTTATATTCATTATATTAATATAAAAGGAACAAATCAATGGAGAATTTAAAATAAATAAGTGCATTAAAAATTACAGGGATATATATATATATATATATATATATATATATAGCCTCCTGAGACCCGGCCCATTGACTTGTGTCCTCTGTAGTGTTTTCATGAACTTTTTTTTCTAATTGTTTAAGCTTCTCTGTCTAGTCCTGTTGTACTGTTCAGGGGACATCCTGGGCTTTCTAGTGATATGTCATTTGATTGGCTGGCATGCTAGGAACCACTTCTTACACTGCATCCAAAATGGCCGACATACAAAAAAGCACATTTATGGGAAGGATAGAGGTATGTAAATTTAGCTTTTTAAATTTTTTTTTTTTTACTGTTATTATTAAATATATATTTGTTTATTAAAGTGTCGGGAACAATACATTTAGCCTTCAAAGGTGTTAGCTTGTTTGTGTTTCAAAATAACATCATTTTTTAAATGTCCACTATAGTGGACACCAGGACCATCTTAATGTAATTAATGACTGCATGTTGTAGGGGGCAGAACTGATCAAGATAGTTGAGCGAGACTCTGATTTAGAGTCTGACAATCAGACAATTAGAGAATTACAGACAATTAGAGAATGACAATCAGTTTTAAGTCTTTTTATGTTGAGTTTGTTTTGGATTAACATAATTTTTTGAGTTTTGAATTTCAGGAATTTCAATACAAAAGAAAAAAATGGCTTTTGTTTTGTTTTTGTTGAATTAATATTAGATTAATATCCCTTTACAGCTATATCCTGTACAGTTTTGTTGTCTGAGTGGCGTCGTTTCGAACTAAAATGGTCCTGTGGTCCACTGCAATGGACATGCTGTAAAATTAAAAATAAAAACAAAATGTAAAAACTCTAAATTGTATTTTTTTTAGCCCAAAGGATGTAAAAAAAACACAGAAAAAAATATTTGGGTCTCAGGAGGATATATATGCATATATATGTACATTATATATGTATACATATTTATACAACAGTTCTGTCTGGTTCTTGAATCTGATTGGCTGATAGCCATGATATAATTAAGTAATATCAGCACCCGTAAAGCCTCTTTACCCTTTGCAAAGAGCTTAGAACGACCAAGAGGGGACACTCAATAGAACGTTCCATTGCAACAGCAGCGCCCAGCAACAGCCCCGGATTCCGCCATTTTGGAGTGAAAGTGATCGGCCGTCCATCTCATTACTGTCGCGATGGCAAGCAGCTGCTTTGTTTTTTATTTATTTATTTAAAAAGTGCATTAAAGTTGAGATACAACCTGAAAGACGACACTTACTATCACAATCATCAGCACTTTTAATAGTTTATTTAACAGACTTTTAATATGCTGTTGTTCTATTGGAGTTTTTATTCCAAAATGGCCGCCCTCTAGTGGCTGTTTCCCAAATTACACTAGAGTTTCACCTTTTGGTCATTCTAAGCTCTTTGCCCTTGTATTACTCCGCCCACATACAACCAGCAAAATGCAGACACTACAGATCTGAAGTTTAAAAAATGCACGCTCAACTGTTTAACTGTCAGCTTATGATTTGAATCCAAGGCGGAAGAAAGTAGTTTGAGACTCAAAAAGGGTTTGAGACTCTCCATGTTTGATTTTGTTTTTATATACACAATTATGCCGTCAAACTGTTGTATAAACGCAATATCACACTTGTAGCAGTGCGATATGGCTGTATATCGGCACTGGTGGGGGCACAAAGGCACTCGGCCTGCGTCCTCGTGCCAACACACGCCTCCCACCAGTGCCGATATACAGCCATATCGCACTGCTACTCGTGTGATATTGCTCATATATATATATATATATATATATATATATATATATATATATATATATATATATATATATATATATATATTACAAGAAATTTACATATGAAAAGTATTCCAAAAACGATTACATCCTTATAGCTTTTTTAAACATCTTTTAAGGTTTTAATACAATGCTTAAGATCAATTTTAAACAAATACATCTTAGGTTTCTCACTTGACTCACTCACTTTTTTGGTTGTGTAAATTGTATTTTGCTATACATAATCATCACATTAATCACCTTTAATATAAAAATAAAACATTTGTGAAATACGTCAACATAAAACAAGTGCGTCATCCTGAACTGTAAGACCAACAGTGTGAGTGACATCTTCACTGACCAATAGATGCGCAGAA